TGGTATATTTAACTGTGGAAACAAATTATTTACACAATTAAAAAAAATTGTTTTGGGGGCATGATAGCCTAGTGGCTAAAAGTCCTCTCCTTAAATGCGCCGGGATCCCATATGGGTGTTGGTTCTAATCCCGGCGACTCCACTTCCTGTCCAGCTCCCTGCCTGTGGCCTGGGATAAGCAGTAGAGGACAGCCCAAAGCCTTGGGACTCTGCACCTGCGTGGGAGACCAAGAGGAAGCTCCTGGCTCCTGGCTTCAGATCGGCTCGGCTCTGGGTCATTGGGGCCACTTGGGGAATGAATCATTGGATGAAAGATCTTCCTCTCCATCTTTCTTCTCTGAATATCTGCCTTTCCAATGAAAATAAATAAATCTTTTAAAAGTTATTTTTAATTGAAAGGCAGACTTATAGAGAGAAGACAGAGAAATACCTTCCATCTGCAGGTTCACTCCCTAAATGAACACAGCAGTTGGAACTGAGCTGAGCTGAAGCCAGGAACCAGGAGCTTCTTCTGGGTATCCTGTGTGAATTTTGGGGCCCAAGGACTTGAGCCATCCTCTCCTGCTTTCCCAGGCTACAGCATGGAACTGGATGGGAAGTGGAGCAGCTGGATGCTGGCACTACACGAGGTCAGCTTGTTGAAGCAGCATGTCATCCCCACAGGTGTTTTTTTGGTTTGTTTTTGTTTTAAAGTAGATATTGTGAGATTACCCAATGGGGATCTGGAATCTGTGAAGCAGACTTCATTAATTTGTGAGCACTGTGGCAACAGGCATGTTAACTGTTAACTGTTAAAAGTCAATTTCTCTCTCTGTAAATGAGAATTTTGAGAATCAGAAAGATGAAGTACAAAAGCATCTAGCAGTGTGAATTTAGCATAGTAAGCAGTGGAGAAATGCTCTCTGCCGGGATTCTGTTCTCTCACCAAGTAAATCCAAACCCAGCCCCAGGGAGCAGCTTGCCCCTGGTGGTTCCCTAACAAAAGCCCACAGGCCGACTGCAGGGTTGTAGGCTGGGTGAGGGAAAATGGAGGGCTTGGAGGTGGGAGGACAGAGGCTCTTGTTGGAAGGAAATGAAGGATTGTGTGCTGACTGGGCACTCGGGGCCCAAAGAAAGCAGGCCGCTTTGTGAACACGGCACTTGGTCACATGGCCACCTCGAATTTGCCGAGTGGACTCAGAGGTCACAGAACACGTGGCGCAAACAGATCTTGAAGCCAACCTTGACAGCCACGGGCTGGAGCCAGGAGGAAGGGTCCACAGCCACGGAGAGACAGGGCAGAAGGTTGGCTGCCACGTGCCAGGTTGGCCGACTGGGATCCTTGGGTGCATAGCTCTCATTCTGCATTAACTTTCTTAACTTCCCTTGGCATTCACTCTCCTGTGTGTTCTAGTACTAAGCTGGCAGCAGAAAGTCAAAGGGCCCAATGTGATCGAAAACACGGGCAAGGAGGAAGATGGGCAAACGCGGAGAAGAGGTTGCGGAAGTTAGAGGCAGACGGTCAAACTCAGTACTTGGGGGTGGCGGGTGGCGGGGGGGGGGTGGTGGTGGTGGAAGGGAATCGTCTCTGAGCAGAAAAACTCCCAAGAATACTACCTACGAATAGCCATCGTGTTCTGATGTGCTACCTATTTTATTGCTACCAGCAGTCTTCCAAGGCAGGAGCTTCTGAGCCCCGGTGCACCGAATGCCTGGGACAGCAAGCTTCTCCCCTCCCTCCCGAGCGTCTTGAGGCTTGGGTATCTAACAGACTAACTCGAGACTGCTCGGGAGACACACTCGAGGCCTGGACAGGTTAGGTAGGTTGCAGCCAAGAAGAAGCGGGAAGGCACCTAGAGGACGTCGGGCCAGCGAGGGGGCTGAGTGCGGGAGAAATGGGATGCGGTCAGTGGCAAAGGTCCGCTGCCACAAGGACACGGGCGGGCGGAAGCTGCCAGGCAAAGTCGCGAAAAGCTGCTGGCAGCCGGAGCTGGGGATGCAGAGGAAACGCGCACCGAGCCAACTACCGGGGAAAAGAGACGCCCCAAGGAGGAAAAAAAAAAAAAAGTGCTCCATCAGCGACTTCGCCCTCACTCCCTTCTCTGCTGCATCTCCCTTTTAAAGCGACAGTCGCGACGCTGCGGGATTCGGAAGCGGAAATGGCCTCTGCTCATTGGATGGTGTCTCCAAGCAGATCGAAAGAACGTGGTTGGAGACAGCTGGTGGAAGCGGTCCAGTCGCGTCTTGAGTGGAAATGCCCACGTGCTGCTCGTCGCCCTCCTTCCCCCCAGGTCCCCCCGCCCCCAGATCCTCCGTTGCTTCCACCAGTGTGTGCTGTTTGTCCTTTTGTAACCGACTCGGCTGCAAAGCGCCCTAGTGGTCCAGGAACGCCCCTTGCTTAACCCAGCGCAGCCGGCTGCAAGGAGATTCAAGCGAGCTGCTTGTTGGTTTATGAGAAGTGACACTTAACTCCCCAGCTTCTTGTATCTGCCACCGGGCAGTTAACGCCGCAGTCCGGCGGCTCCCTACCGCGGCGAATGCCCCCGGGGCCAGGACTCGGAAGAGGGGCGCACCGCGCCTGCCCCAACCCCCCAACCCCTCGGGACGCCAAGGGACCCCTGGCCGCGGCCGAGGGGAGTGGGTGGGGCCGGGGGAGGGCCATTCCGCCGCGCGGCCGGGGCACGCCTTCCACCAGGGGAGGGGTGGGGGGCAGGGCAAGGTCTCCCCAGGTCGCCGGAGCTTCCAGCTCTCCCGAAACCTGCAAATTCATTCCGCTCTTTCATCTTCCTTCGAAAACCCTGCAAGCGCTGCAGGGCCAGCCTCTGTCCTTCACCTCCAGCCTTTTAGCTTCCTTCAAGGCTGATCCTACTTCTTCCCATTAAAAACAAAAACAAAAAACAAAAACAAAAAACGGGGCGGGGGGGCCCCGCTTTGATTAGCTTTCCCTGCGCAAAGGTCCGGATCTCTGCTTTTGACTTGGCTTCGCACTCGCGTCCCCCAGTCCGGAGCTGCGCTCAAGTCTGCGCAACTTTCACCATCTTGACCCGGGAATCGGGCCGTGGCTAAGACAATGTGAACAAAGAGGAGCAGGGGGGCGAGAGAGGCCGGCGGGTGGGCTGCGGGGCCGGGGTGTGTGTGCGCGCGTGTCGGCGGGAGCCGCGCCCGTGCCCGCAGCCCGCGGGGATTCGGGATGCGGGCGCGTTGCCTTGGGCGTAGAGCGCCCCGGAGCCGGGATCGTGGCACCGCTCGGCCCCGGCAGGGCCCCGCTGCGGTCCCGGCCGCGGGTTTCTTTGTCCCTGCCTCCGGGCCGGGCGCGAAGGCCGCTGGCCAAGAGCAGAAACCTGAGCCCTGAGCTGGAGCTTGGGCTTCCACGTGCGGCCCCGCGGGGCAGAAGCGGGAAGCTGCGGTGGTAGCCCCGGGGCGCCCCGCGATCGGCTCGCGCTCAGGGCTCTTCCGGCTCCGCAGCGGACTTGGTCCAGGCCGTGGCAGGAGACGCCGGGACTCCCCGGGCCCAAGCGCGGTTCCGGATGGCCGGGCTGGTCCTGGAGAGCGTGGCCTAAGGGCCGAAGTGGGGGAACCTCCCGGAGCGCTCTGCACCCAGACTCCTTGCAAGGCGCGCACGCGGGCGTGGGGCACGAGGCGAGCTCGGGGAACCGTGGCGGGTCTCTGGCGCCTCCCAGACCGTCGGCGACCCAGGGGGAAGTGGGGTGGCGGTGTTGGTATCTGGGCGGGACCTTTAACACCACTAGAGATCGGGAGATGCCCGGGCAGCGCGGGCGCTGCGAATAAAACCAGAATGCCGGCTACGTCTGCGCGTGTCTGTCCGCGCGCGCGTGCGTGCGTGTGTGAGTGTGTGCGCGTGCCGGAGCCCGCTTCCCCTCCGACTGTCTCACCTGCAGTACAGTTTTGCGCTTCCGTGTGTCTGGCAGAAGACCGACACTCTCTCTCTCTCCATACCCCAGCTCCCATCCCTGTGCCCTCCAAACTCTGTTAACTAAGTTAAAGATCGGATAACGCCAGACGGGGACTGCGGAGTGCACGTGAAAAAAACAAACAAACAAACAAAAACCACTCGCCCAGTTTCCTCCCTCGCCCCCACCCCCACTCGCCTCGAAGCTCCGGGCGGGAGTCTCCGCAGAGGCTCGAGGTGCCGCCCGTCCTTGGGCCAGCCCGCGCGCCCACGAGGTGCGGCTCCGCGGGGGCCCTGCGGCAGCGCGGCGGCAGGCGGGCGCTAGGACCACGGCGGCGCTCCGGCCGGCCGCGGCGCTACCTTAAACCCTGCCCAATGCCGCTGCCTGCGCCACTCTGCGCGCCGGCGGGGGCTGCGCAGGAGGAGCGCTCCGCCCGGCCACCCCGCTCCGCCAGCCGGCGCGGCAACACCTGTTCGCGGCGGCACGCGAGCCCCGGGACGCCGCGGCTCCGCCACCCGCGCTCAGCCAAGGGACCTCGGCCGAGCTGCTGGAGAGGATCCTGGATACTAGCGTTGGACGCCTAAAGTTTTTTTTTTTTCCTCCTTTATTATTTTTTTTTGAAAAATTATTATTATTATTTTGGAAAGCGGGGGTGGGGGTACCGGGAAGGGGGAAGATTTGTCGCTGCCACCAACGTGAGCTTCCCCCCCCACCTCCCCCAGCACCCCTTGAAGGATTCGTGCCGATGCCTGCAGAGTCGGTTAGAGAGTAAAAACAGCGCATGCCTTCCTGGAGTCTGATCCGTGAATTCTGACGTAGCCCGTGCATCTTAAAAATCCCCATAATAACGCCTAGGCATTTAAGTTGCTATGGTCATTCTGATCGCAAGGCCAATGGAGAAACTCCGGATGTTTCTGTTTCCTTATGACGGTCGGATGGGATGAAGACCTTCTTACCTGCTAAGAGCTGGGAATGTCTGTAGAGATGCATAGAAATGTTTATCACTGTGTCAGTGTGTGAGTATAAAGTGGTGGTTTCTTAGACTATCAGTGGTTTGACCTTGAACCTGTGCCAGTGAACCAGCAGATTACTTTTATTTATGCATTTAATGGATTGAAGAAAAGACCTTCTTCTTTTTTTTTTCCTCCTCTCCGCAACTGCAGTAAGGGAGGGGAGTTGGATATACCTCGCCTAATATCTCCTGGGTTTGCAATCATCATTATTGTTTATTCTTGTGCTCCGAAAGCCGAGTCTTCTTGATGGCTCCCTTAGGTGAAGTTGGGAACTATTTCGGTGTGCAGGATGCAGTACCGTTTGGGAACGTGCCCGTGTTGCCGGTGGACAGCCCGGTTTTGCTAAGTGACCACCTGGGGCAGTCGGAAGCAGGGGGGCTGCCCAGGGGACCCGCAGTCACCGACTTGGATCATTTAAAGGGGATTCTCAGGCGGAGGCAGCTCTACTGCAGGACTGGATTCCACTTAGAGATCTTCCCCAATGGTACTATCCAGGGAACACGGAAAGACCACAGCCGCTTCGGTAGGTATACCGTTAACCCCTCCGTGCCCGTGCGAGGGCAGGTTCGGATTGCTAACTGCCCAGAAGGTGGTGGCCAGGAAGGACTCTCGACCCCCATCCCCTTCTTTCTCCCCCCTCCTCCCCTCTCGACTGTCTTGCCAGCTTTGGGAGAGAGAGAGAGAGAGAGAGAGAGAGAGAGAGAGAGAGAGAGAGAGAGCGAGCGAGCCTCCGGAACTGCAGATCTGCTGCTGGCACCGGTGCAAGTCCACATTGAGAGGCATTTTTTTTTCTCTTAAGAGTGGGGGGCCTGCTTTATTAACAGGGCACCGTCCTCGGTTCTTTTCGATCAGATGCATGGGAAGATGGGGTTGAGGAAGTTTCTTTTGAATGGAGGGATTCCACGAGTTTAAAGCTTTAATCATTAACTGCTAGGAACTTAGCAATGCTTGGAGTTTCCTGGAAGCTAGAGGTGGGTATCACGCGCCCGAAAGGAGGCTGCACCCCGGGCCCCTTCTAGGAAGTCCTCTGCTTGACTTGTAAATTAAACGCATTGTTTATGCCCCCTGTGCGGATCTGAGAGCTCCCGTAGCTTAAGGTTGCTGACTGATTGTTCTGTGGGGAGGAAGACCAGAGCCGGGCAGGGGCGCAGGGGCGCTGGGGCAGGGGCCGAGCGCTCGGCGAGCCAGGGCGTCCGTCCTTCCAGCTCTCCAGCCCTAAGCTCTGCGGGTCGCAGTGTGCAGCCCGCTGGGGATGTGCTGGGCGGGTTGCTCTCCGCGTGCGAGCGCGTGCAGAAGCCGCAGGCTCACCCGAAAGGGCATTACTAGGACTTGGTTTTCCGAACAGGGTATTTGTGACTCAGCAGTGACGGCTGGTGGCTCTGCCCACTCGGCTGTCTGCACACACGTGCTTCCTGGGGCACCCTGAGCCCGACAGCACCAAGTCGACCAGCAGCCCTAACTGGGGGTTGGGGTGAGGGTGCGTGAGTTGGGGAGGGGGCTGTGGGGTACTTTACTTGAAAAACAAATAAGTGCCACAGTGGGCAAGCCGAGTGTTGGAAGGAGTTAAGTTCTGAGAAAACTCACCTGACAACACTTAAACTAGGTCGTAAAAAACAAGGTCCTGCGGTGGTTTTCCTTCCTCGTGCTTTCATGCCAGATGTGGCACACAAGCTAACTCCGTGTTCGGCTTCGTGGCGGCCGCGGAGGATGCCAGGACGTGAGGACGCCTCGGGCCTGGGATGGGGATGCTGCCACATCCACGAGGCCCAGGATCTGTCTTCTTAGGCTCCGGGCTGGGGCTAAACCCAAAGCTCAAAAAAAAAAAAAAAAAAGTTGTGGCTCTTTGCTTTGCCACGCTGCAGCCGCAGCTCCCCCACCGCCTCCGGAGTCCGCGTGCTTCCGAGGGTGGCCGGGAAAGACTAAACTTTCCCCAAAGTGCTCCGGTCCGGCCGCTTTAAGGGCTGCCGCCTTGCCTAGCGTGCAAAGGCAGAACAACAGGCAGTGGGCGGCCGGGGGTGGGAGAGCGAGGGCGCCCTGGGCCGCAGTGGCCACCCGCGGGGCGTCGACGCTGCGCCGGCCCCGGGCGCGCGGCGTGGGCGGCCGGCCCCGGGTGCGCCCCGCCGCCCGAGCCCCGGCCCTCCCGCGCTCCGGCCGGCAGGTGCGGGCTCCGCCGCCCGGGCCCCGCAGCGCTGGTTCCGCGGCCGCCGGGCCAGCTCCGCGCGGTCCTAAACGCGCTCGCCTCGCGGGTGCCTTTCCGCCCCGCTCCCGTGTGCGCCCTTAGGTGCCGCGGGGGACCACCGCCGTGCCAGGGAAAGGGATGGGAGGACGGCGACAAGGCAGGGGTAGCTAACGCGTTGGCTGCGTTGAGGGGATCTGGGGTTTTCGTCCTCCCCACCCATCTGTAGTCCCTCTGCTTTCTCTTTGTTGTGTGCAGTGTGGGACCGGTGGGGCTGACAGCTGCCGCCTTGGGCCGCGCGGCGGTTCGCGGTGTGGGAACGGCTGGAGGCGCGCGACGCGGCAGGAGAGCTGGTGGCGGGGACAGAGGACCGGCTGCCGGGAGGACCCTTGAGCTCCCCGGCCCGTCCCGGCTCCCTACCCTGGTGTCCGGAGCGCACTGCCAGGTGGTGGAGGTCCGAGGAGCTCCGCGGGGCCTGGGAGGTGGGTCGGGGGCTCCTGGTTCGCGCAAGGCCGGAGCAGCCGGGGAAGGGGTGGGGTGGGGGGGTGGGGGGGACAAAGGACCTCGGAGGAGGGCGGAGGGGGCGGCGTGCTATTGTTAGCCGCTTTTGGAGAGCCAGGCGGCGGCCTGTGGACCAGCTTCCCCGCGCCCCCGCCTCGCGGCTAGGGAGCTCAGGGTGCATGCCGGGGGCGCCCAGCTCCGGGCACGCTGCGGTGGGCGGGAGGCAGCTTCATTGTGGGAGCCGCTGGGTCGGTACCCCCGTCCCCCCCGCCCCAGCGCAGCCCAAGTGGACCTCGGTGTGGAGAAACTGCGGGACGCTCCAGCCGGCCTTCTTCACGCACCCCATCCCCCCTTTTTTGATGCAGTCACCTTTAGGGTAGGACACTGGCCACGCGCAACCCAGTCATCAGAAATTCAGCAACTCTGCCTCCAGGGCGAGCGGGGATGCAAGGGTGGATGGAGGTGGGGGCCCGAGGGCGAGAGACGCGTTGTGGGGGTCAGCGGACGGGGCAGTTGCAGGCAGGACGACAGACTGGAGACCCTTAAACAAAAAGCTAGTCCTCTGCCCTCCTGGATCCCAGAGGTTGGAGAAAGGTGTCGCTAAGGAAGTGACATGTCTGCATCTTACATTAGCAGACCTCGTGTGTGTGTGTGTGTGTGTGTGTGTGTGAGAGAGAGAGAGAGAGACAGAGAGAGAGAGAGAGAGAGAGAGAGAGAGAGAGATTGGGAAAGGGGGAGGCAGTGTTGGGTAAGGAAGGTAAAGGAAGCCCCTGGCTGGGCTGGGGACTGGGGCGGTGGGGGAAGGGCGCTCGCTGTGCCACTCACCCTCGCTGGGATGGAGCTGAGTGGGTGGCTGTGCGCAGTGGGGGTGGGGCAGGAGGGCTATTTAAATCTTTCCTGCGGCTGCCGCGAGAAGCGGGCCCCGGGGGTGACAGCAGTGCCGCGGTCTCCCGCTGCTACCGCTGCGGCAGGTCCCAATATTAGCAACCTCTGCAGCTCGGTGCGTGCGCCTCGCAGCCCCGCCCTCGGGAGCCGCGCGGCGCTGGGACCCTGCGGCCTGCGGGAGGGGGCCGGGGCTGCGGCCGTGCGTCCCACCTGGCGCTCCCGCCCGCCGCACCTTCGGGCCTCCCCGCAGCCTCCCCGCTGGGAACTCTCCTCACCTTCCGCTCCTCTTCCGATGCCCGAGAATGCAGGAGCTGCGGGTGGGGGTGGGGCGGGATGGGCTTACCCTTGCTGCAAGCAGAAGGTGCCTTTGCGACCTGACTGGGGATGGCGGCAGGAAACGGGCTGCAGAAAGAATGCTGTGGGTCACCCCTCACCCCCCTCCCCGTCCCACTCTGTTCTCTTCCCCACCCCGTGCACCCGCAGGTGACTGCAGCTGCTGGCGAGCGAGCGTGGTGGTGACACAGCACAGATGCAGGGGACGTGGGGGTGGGGGACGCCTGCCGTGGTAACTTAGGTGGGACCTTGCGGGAGCCCTTTGTCTTTCGTGGGGTGGTGGTTGGAGATGCACAGGGCAAAGGCTCTGCTGATTGTACTTGGGGGGGTCGTAGGGCCGGTAGAGGTGTGCCATTTCATCTAAGCTCCTATACACATATTTATAATCTTTTCACTTTTAAAGCCCCCTTTTTTTTTCCGCAAGGGGAAAAAATCAGTTGGGGCAAGGGTAATGTAGGGTACTAAAGGTGAGCAGTAAGTTTGTGTGGGTGGTCCTGAGCATGTTCCCTCCTTGGCTTGAGATGGGTGACTTGGAAAGACCCCAGAGGGATGCCCCAATAGGGGCCGCGCGATCCAAGGGAGTCTGGTGTGTGTGTGGGGGAAACAAGGGGGCCTATATATATATATATATATATATTTTTTCCCTTTAAAGGAGGTTATAGAATTTTATTTCCAGGATTTTGCGCTTAAAACAATTCCGCCATGTATAATTCTGTTATTCAGTGTCCCTTGCTGTATCTCCCGCTCCTGAGCGGGCTGGGAGACTGATTCCCGGTACTGATGGATTGGGAAGGCCTGGTCTTGCAGGGGCGGAGTGCTGCATTTTCGGGGGGCCTACCTGCTGACTCACTGCACCTTCTGAGATTTTGTGTGTAGTCTGGGCTGAAGAGGGCCGCCCTGTTAGGTGTTGGGGAGGGGGGTTTCTGGTTAGAAGGGTTCTTTAAGTGGGTCAAGGGCTGGGAGGGGCAACTTCTGACCTCCTCCCATTTCTCAGGGTTGGCCTTCTCAGCCTGCCAGTGGAGGCAATGGCCAGCCCAGGAGGGCCAACAGGGCTGGTCCATGTCCATGGCCGACAGTTCATGGTCCATCTGAGCAGAGCTAGGGAAGCCCCATCGGTTTGGGGCCAATTACACAGGGCTGTGTCAAGCACGGTCTGGTGAGCTGGTTTTCTGGAGTAGTCCACGCAGGCCTCCGTCTCTCCTGGAGCATGTCAGACCCCGTGGGCTCCACGGAGCTGGCTTTGCATGCCACGCCATCACTGCCTGGTGTCCTGGCTGTTCTGAGCTGAGGACGTCTAGGAGGTGGGTGCCTTGGAGGAGGGAGATCGCCAGGGTACCCGTGAGAAGGCCACTGTTAATATCAGGTGCTGGCCGTTATTCAGACTTGCCCTCCTTCCTCTCTTCCCTGCCCCCTCCTTTTGCCCTTCCTTTCCTTGATCTTTATTCATTGCAGTGTCCGTGCAGACACCTTCTCTTGCTCGTCCGTGTGAGTAGGTAAAAGGGGTGGGTGTGCAGTTGGCAGCAGCCGGGTTGACCTGGCTGAAGGTTCGGAGCTCATTGTGGTCAAGGTGGTACCAGGAGGGATAAGGTTGAGGTGGGATCTTGCGGCCAGGTCTTTCTGACCTCACAGCATCACAGCAGTCTGGGTGTGGGAGAAGGGCAGTGACTCACAGCTTCCCGGCGCTCTCCCCGCCCTCCCTGGGAGAAGCTGGGCGGGGCTCCTGAGGCCTCAGTGTTCAGGGAGCTGCAGCAGTACAGGTGGTGGCTGGAGGTGATGAAATCTTGCCCACCTGGGGTCATTCCGCAGCTCCGCTGGCCAGGACAACTCCTTGAGGGCCTCACCGCTGGTTTCTGGAAAGCTTTCCCTGATTCACCTTGCCAAGGCTCAGCAAACCACTTGTCCTTTGACTCTGCCCATGACCTGTTCTTCTCACTGTACTCACCACATTACTACTAAGTTAATCTGTGCACCTGTCCTTCTTGCCTTCCGATAGTACCCCCACCCATCTTATTCGAGGTTTCCCTTGCTGAGGTTTCAGTTACTCACTCAACTGTGGTCCAAAGATGCTAAATGGAAGATTCCAGAAGTCAGCAAATCACAAGTTTTGAATAGTTTTTCTTAGAATAATTGTTATGTTTCATCTTATTGTTTGTTGTTATCAATCTTTTGCTGTTGCCTAATTCCTAAAGTAGACATTATAACAGGGGGATGCAGATAGGAAAAAACGTAGTGTAATGGGGTTTGGTATTCTGCGGTCTTAGGCATCTGTGAAATTTGTCTCATGAATTGGAGGGGCTTCTGCTATGGATGTAAGGACCTAAGCTGTTTTGTTTTTCATCTTAAGCATTACTGGAATGGCATGGAACTATAAAAGTCCCAATGAATAGGGGAACACATATGAATTTATAGCCGCATATCAATGCCAGAAAAAGAAGTAAGATATACATCTTAATGCCTTCATTTAAAAATGTTACAAGAATAGTGACTGTAGAACTTAACTATGAAAATCACACAGGAAATGCAGGCTAATAAAAACAAGATGAAAATCAGTTGCAAGTTGTGCATGATAATTCAGGAGACAGGGGTGGGAGTCTGCTGGCCCAGGGACGCGTTATTTAAGCTTCCAGAAACGTGCTTCCCGTTTGTTCACAGTGGGCTGAAACACGGCCGTGCCTCGCGTTGATGCGAGGTGGAGCTGAGAAGGCCTCTCGACTGGCCCAGTGTCCAGTGTCCAGTTATCCCCACGGCCGTTGTTATTCTCATGCATCAAGCTCTCCACGATGGCGTGGAGAGCTTGCTTACACACATTCCGGGCTTGGGGTACTTCCTCAGAGCCTCCTTATTTTTTTTTTTTTTTTTTTTGCGGGAAAACAGAGAGCATTACATGTCCTCTTAGGATGCGGAGGCCTTTTACCATGGAACTCCTCCACATGGACCTCAAAGGGGGCAAAATGATTCCTGTATTTCATCGCGCCTTAGACTGATTTGAGGGTGAGAGTGACCTACATTGTGGCTGGCGTGCTCTCAGTCAGAGACTTGTGAATCTTGCCTGCAGTTAGATGTCACATTCTGATTTCAAGTTACAGACATGGCACACCGAAGCCCATTGGCTGCATCGAAGGTAGAGTGCATCTTATGGGAACTGAGTGGGATGGAAATGCTGGTCCAGGTGTCTTCCCATTTGCTCTGGGAAGTAGGGGAAGCTACCCAGAGACTGTCTTCTTGCAGGTGTATTTCCGTGTTAGAGTCGTGTTAGCAGGTACCAAGCACAATTTGTAATGTCTCTTTATGTTTTTCTATGTGCTGTTTCATATTCTATCAAGGTAAAATGCTTACATGTCCTGATGTGTATTTTGTAAACAACATGAGATAAATGTGGTTTTATGCTTACGAGGCAATTAGGAATGCCTGTTTCAAAGCCAACGCTCTTGGCTTTTTATGCCTTACCTCGGGACAGCGTTTCCTTTCCAGTTAATCCTTTGCTTTATTAGATTTATGCCATTCATATCTTCTGTTGGTTGCAGCACAGTCTATTTTGTGAGAGTTGCAAAATTAATTGTTTAAAAATCTATGTAAGTGCTTTTTTATTAGTCACATGAGACTGTCTATAGCTCAGCGTTACCCTCAGTGGTTTCTTTTTTTTTTCCTAAACTTTTTTTTTTAAACTTTTTCAATATTTGAAGGTATTTTAAAAACAAGAACTCAGTATCTGGTATGTGTGCATTCCAGGGGCTGCACAGAGCAGAAAATTTTAATGTGTAACACGCAGGAGAACGTAGCTGCTTTCTCGTGTGAGCGGTGTCCTAAAAATATATTGTGGGACAATCGTCTTCAAACAGCCATACGGTCAGAGAAATTGAAGCCGCTGTTGTGTGGCCATAAAATTCTGGATTTATGCCTAGCTTAGGTGTTGTTATTCTTAGCGAAGTAAGCAAGAGGAAGGAAATCCGAGACGATCCTGAGCCGGTTTGATTTGGGGGCCTTGGGGATGACCATACCACGTGTGAAGGCAGCAGTGTTTTTGGAACCAGCCTTTCCCCATCAGGAATGTTGTGTTATCTAAATTGCCTCACTGCCTCTTGCAGATAAGCACAGCCAAAAACCAATACTTGATTTAAGCACAAGTATTTGGGCTGTGTGTGGTTTTCCAGAGGGAGCTAGAGGAATTGATAGAGCGGGCAGCTGGGTAATTTTCTGTGTAAACCACAGAGTTACTGAGCACCTTGCACTTGCGGCGTGGGAGCATTTTCTGAATGGACGCCCCCCTTATGATCTGCATTTCCAAACAAGCACTTTCATTTTTTTCTTAAGGAAATTCATTTCTCTTGGTCCTGGGGATGAGGAAGAGCCAGGTGGAGAGATGGCCATGTACAAATACTTAATTACACCTCTATAAAGTTGAAGTAGATTGGTTTTCTCCTAAAATTCTCTTTTTTGACAAATTAGAGTATGTCTGGTAGCTTCTCTGTCTATGCTAAAATGTCCATTCTTTTACTAACTTTAAAAAATTTCCTAAATGCTTTGTACATTATGTAAGCCATGTTAATAAGGACTTTGTATCTTTATGGTGAAGGCAAATGTAGGTAGAAAATGAATTCTCTTAGCCAGTGGTTTTTAAAAGAGAAACCAGCTGGTTAAGCCACGAGAGGCTCTCACGGTTGGGAGCTGTGTTCTGTGTCCCCGCCCAAACCCCCAGGGATGCTGACTCCCAGCATCCCGTGCTCCAAGCTGCCTTCTGCATCCTGCCTTTTGTCTTTCAGGCATCCTGGAATTCATCAGTATAGCAGTGGGCCTGGTCAGCATTCGAGGCGTGGACAGCGGACTCTACCTCGGGATGAACGAGAAGGGGGAGCTGTATGGATCAGTAAGTACTGGCAGAGACTTGGCCAGCCTGTGTTGGATTTCAGCTGCATTTTTCTCTCCGCATTGAACAGAGCAGAAAAGACCCTGAATGTGTCTGGAAGGCAGAGCGGGTGTTTTTGCTGGTTGAGGGAAACCATTTCATTATTATTAATAGGTAATCAGCTGGCCCTCTTCACTGGACCAAAATTGCTGAGACAATACTTTATTGATATGCCAAGCCATCTTCATTATCAAGTCAATACAAAATTCACGAGTGTGAAAAATCCCATCTTCTTGGTTGAATGGGAGTTATTTTTGAAATGAATTGCAACTATCATCTCCCAGGCTTTGCCAAGCATTGTAATTAAAACTTGAAATAGACACTGCAGCAATTACAAAACACTTTCTCTGAAAGACTTAAGGTTTTCATTTTACGGAGAGGTGGAAATTATTGTCAGATATTCTGGTATGTGCTGCTTCCAAGTGCCAGGCACTGTGTGTGCTTAGGGACCTGGCTGTGGCGTCTGCTCTATGGCAAGGGCTCTGCCTTCGCATCCTTGCCTCTGCTAGCACAGGATCTTAAATACAGGTGTTTCTCGCTAAACGTGTGACTATGAGCAATAACAGATTATTAGTTACTAGATACTTTCTTGGAGTGTCAACATCAAAACCTGTGAAGAAATTACCCCCTTTATCTTTTCGTTGTAATCACTGGTGGTCAAGCGAGAACTTAAGCTATTAGTTATCTGAAATGTAACAGTTTTGATTAGTACTCATAAAAAGTTGAAAATTCAAAGAACCTCAGCATCAGATAAGTTCTGGAGTCGTTTGTCCATGGAAATGAAAGTCAAAAATGTTTTCTATTTCTGCTCTTCTGTTTATAAACCAATGAGAGTCCTACTCACACGTAAGGATACTGTATGTGGTTTTAATCTTTTACTCAAAAACTCCAGGTGACAACACATCATGGCCAGTGTAATTTGAATGTAACACACCATATTAAAACAAAGCTAGATTTCTTTGGAAAGCAGTTATAGTGTGAAGGTGGGAGGTTAGGGCTGGTAAGAGAAGGAAGAGGAGGAGAAAGAGAGATCTTCTGTCTGCTGGTTCACTCTCCAAATGGGCTGTGGCCATGTCTTGCCTTCCCAGGAGTGGATGGGAAGGAGCAGCCAGGAGTCTGACCAGCGCTCACGCGGGGTGCTTGGTCTCACAGGCTGCTTAAAGACCTGCCGCTTACACACCATTTTTAGTGACCCAGGCTGTGAGTTTTCTGCCTTGATAAAGTTTCAAACTCTAGGTTGATTAATTTGTTTAGACACTTAATTTCTCTTTAAAGTGCCTCCTTCAGAGAGTAAATTGCTTTGAAACAGGTCTTGAAGTTTGGACTTCGCAATCACAATTGGTTTGAGCAAAGTTACTTCCCAGATGACTTTTGCAGATACTTTGGTGTGCAAAGAAAAGGTGTAGAAAATACGAGATGACTTGTAAGTTTATGGATTAGAAGGTGATTTTTTTCTTTTACCATATTATTTTTTTCTACTTCTAGGGATTTAATTGAACTCTGTGAAATGTCCTTTTTTGTGTGTAGGACTGAAGTTCTTGGCTTTGGTGGGTGGGAGGGACTCCTAGCGCAATGGTCTCTCTTCCTTAACATCACCCATGCCACGTACCTTTTATTCAGGGTGTATCTCACTATGTGCTCATTACATTATTTAAATAAATACATAGATCTGGAAGTATAGCTCATGTATATGTTACCTTATTTGGTGAAACATGCATCCAATGAAATGTTTGCATCAGCCACAGTAAAGTTCTCATCTCTAGGATCTCTCTGGAGTGTCCCTTCCGCAGGACCCTCTGGAGTGTCCTCCCTTTGGCTCCAGTGAAGTCAGCAGTGTGGTTCAGAGTCCTGGGTAGTTAAGGGTTGATGGGGAGGCCACATCTCATTTTATGTTGGCAAAAGTGCCTGTGCGGTTGTTGCTTGGGGTAAGGCGTGTTTCCCCTTCTGGGTAGTTTCAGTGGCTTCCTGGGTGGGTGGGCGGGGAGGAACTCCTGCCTGTAGTGCCCTATGCATGGCCCAGTGCCTGGAGCAGTGTGGAAGGCACTTTGCATTAGACCCAGTGGCAAGACTGCAAGAAGGGAGGGAGGGAGCAAGATGGAGAACACCATCTTGTGTTGACTTCTGGGAAGCCATGCTGCCTAGTTCAGGGTTTCTGAGTATACACCATGAGTGTGGTGAGACTTGGAGTTCTCCCTGCACTCCGCACGACCACACAGCTGACTGATCCTAGTCATTCAGATGTATGTGGTTAAATGAATCTCTTGTGCTGGAGCATCTTTGACCACCTGAGATTGTTGAAAACATCACTTGCCTTGCAAGTCTCCATCACGTCTCTGACTGCATCTTTAGTTCAGTTACCAGTCCTTTTATTTATTTTTCAAAATTTATGTATTTATTTTTATTAGAAAGGCAGATATACAGAGAAAAGGAGAGATGGAGAAAAAGATCTTCCATCCACTGGTTCACTCCCCAAGTGGTTGCAATGGTCCCGAGCTGAGTTTTTCCAAAGCCAGGAGTCAGTAGCTTCTTCTAGGTCTCCCACGTGGGTGCAAGGTCCCAAGGCTTTGGGCCAGCCTTGACTGCCTTCCCAGGCCACAAGCAGGGAGCTCGATGGGAAATGGAGCAGCTGGGACATGAATAGGCACCCATATGGGATCCCAGTACATGCAAGGCAAGGATTTAGCCACTGGGCTATCACACTGGCCCCTTATTACCACTTCTTAACTTTTCTTCTGAGCCCTGGGAATTCTGTGCTTGTATTTCCATGTTTCTAGAAGTGGCAGTATAATTTTTAGGATGGCCAATTTTTAAAATACATTTTTGTTTTCTGTCATTAGCATAAAGATCTATGCTATGTTTTTTTCTTTTAGCTTGTTTATTTATATTTGTTTGAAAGGCAAAGGGTCAGAGAGACTGGAGAGCTTCTGTTTGCTGCTTCACTCCCCGGGAAACTCAACAACTGCTGTGATGGGTTAGGGGGACAATATCAGGATGCAGCAACTGGGTCCAGGTTTTCCCTGTGGGTGTGAGGGATCGCATTCCTTGAGTCAGCATCTGCTGCCTCCCAAGGTGTGTCTTAGCAAGAAGCTGGACTTAAAAGTAGGAGTCGAGATTTGACTCCAGGTACTCTTGATAGGAAATATGAACACCCAAGTAGACCGCTATACTGAACATTGGCCTTGCATTTTACATCTTTAATTTTATTTTCATTTTTATTTCCCAAATACCCACTCTAGCTAGGGCTGGATCCGTCTGAAGTTGACAGTCAGGAACTCTGTGTATATCTCCCACGTGGGTAGCTAGGCTGTCCCCTGCTGCCTCCCAGAGTACACATAAGCAAGAAGCTGGTTCCGAAGCAGAGTTGCAGGGTCTTAATCCGACACTCCAGGAGAGGATGTGGCCCTCAGGTAGCCTTTCATTGCATATCTGCCCCCTCCTATATTTCTTTTAAAATAGGACCTCACACCTAACCGTGGTTCCTGCTTGAAGCAAGTACTGAGCAACCACTCTTTGGATAGGAATGAATTGAATGGTAGTGATTTCTCCGCCTTTTCTTCAGTGCATACGTGGGGACCTGGCTGCATCTCCAGTTGCATGGTCACTGTGTGTTTTTAGACTCTGGTTGGAGGAAGCATCCTGGCACTTGCTCACTTGCTTTTTCTTGTTTCTGCTCTGGGTTGGCCTGAGCTTTGCACAGCTGGGGTTGGAGAAGTGAGAGTGCAGTGGCGAGAACGTGGTGGGGCCCTCACTCTGTCACCTCCCAAGGAGGCTCGTGTCTCAGATGAAGAACTGGAGGTAGACCTCTTCCCTGTCTCTTCCTGATCTAGGTGGGCTCTAGAATTCCAGGCTGGCTATTTCAGCCTTCTGTGCTTTGCCCACGGCCTCCTCAGTGCTGAAAGGAGAACCCCCAGGACAGGGGTTGTTGTTGCCCTACAGGCTGAACCTCCTGCAGGCCAGGGGAACCGAGGGGGAGCTGGGCTGGCTCCTCTGGGGCTGGCTTCCCATGTTTCCCACTGGGTTTGCAATTCTCACACTTGAGATGCTAGCTTTGGGATCGAAATGAATCCATAGCTGTGTGAAGTTGTGTGAAGCTCTACTAGCCAAACATGGAGAGTTGTTTCCAAATATTAGACAAATCATGAAAAGGTGGATCTTGGGCCCGGTGTGGTAGCTTAGTAGCTAAAGTCCTCTCCTTGCAAGCACTGGGATCCCATATGGGTGCCAATTCTAATCCCAGCAGCCCTGCTTTCCATCCAGCTCCCTGCTTGTGGCCTGGGAAAGCTGTCGAGGACGGCCCAAAGCCTTGGGACCCTGCACATGTATGGGAGACCCAGAGGTAACTCTTGGCTTCTGGCATCAGATTAGCTCAGCTCTGGGCCATTGCAGCCACTTGGGGAGTGAACCAGTGGATGGAAGATCCTCCTCTCTGTCTTTCCTCCTCTCTGTATATCTACCTTTTATAATAAAAATAAATGAATCCTTAAAAAAAAAACAAAGAAAGTAAAGGTGGATCTTGTTAAGAATGTAGGTAAATCAGAGATTTGGGGAAAATAAGATTTATTTGTGTGAATTAAATTGAAATGCAAAAGAATAGTTATTTGAATAAAGTAAATTAATATGCAAATGTAGTAAAATCCCTTTAAAATGTATTTTTGCATTTTGGGAGTTTCTTTTTTTTTTTTGTTTACGTAGTGTTGCTTTATTTCCAGGTTTGTTTTGAGAGTGCGAGCAGTCAGAGGTGAAACTTCGTCAAGGAGGTGGATAGGATCCTAATGCCTTCTTAGAAAGCTGACACAGGCAGAATTGTTCATCCGTGTTAGGATTTGGTTGACGAAGACCGTAAATCCAACTCAGTAGTAGAGTTGGATGATTGCGTTTGTGTGTTAATTTATCCCCACATCCATTCATTCATTTATTTCACATCTGCTCATGTCCCTTCTGTGTCTAGCACTGGTAGAAGC